GTTGGGGATGCTGAGCATCCAGGAGGTGGCTCTGAGGGGCTCCCCTGCCCTCCATTGGGACAGCACCTCCTGCCACTTGGCCAGGCCCATCCCCGGCAGCTTCTTGGGGTCCCTGAGCTTCCTGGGCAAGGATGCGCATGGACTGGCCCTGTTCCACGCCCACTGGGATGAGCAGGGGAGGCTGCAGGAGTGTAGCCGGCAGGATGAGCCGGCGCTCACGGCAGCCTTCAGTGCCCTCTGTGCTGGTGAGATCACCCGGGGCTCCTTCATCCACACCCCTGGACCTGAGCTGCAGAGAGCCCTGGCCACCCTTCAGAGTCAGTGGGAGACCTGCCAGGGGTCTGAGGAGAGTCCACCAGGGGCCAGGCAGAAGCGAGCAGCAGGGCAGAGTGGAGCGCCTGTCGTGGGGCACCAGCGGGTGAAGAGAGGCTGGACCATGCCTGGCACGCTGTGGTGTGGAGTTGGGGCCTCTGCCAGGAACTCCTCGGAGCTGGGTGAGCCATGGGAGTGTGGGCTGGGGGGCTGAGCTGGTGGGAGTGCAGACTTTTGCCCTGGCACGCACCCTCCCAGGTTGTGTGTCCTTGAGGGAGTGACAACCACTCTGAACCTCAATTTCCTTATTTGTACAATGGGGGTGGGCATAAGTCTCATTATGGGATGCTTAAATGAGGTCATAGATGGGAAAGGCCCTACTCAAACCGAGGGAGGGGACAGGCTGGGGTGTGTTCAAGGTTGGCAGAGCCAAAAACTCGCTACCCACTAGGCTTTATGGGCACAGCATGCCCAGTGGAGGGAACACTGAGACCCAAAGGGCTGGGTTCAAATTCCACTTCAGCACGTCCAAGCTCTCTGAACCTCCTTTCATCACCTATACAATGGAAGTGACACCTCCCTCACAGCGCTGCTCTGAACTTGGGTGTGGGAAGTGCTGGGCACTTGGGAAATGCTCAGTAAAAGGGCACTACTGCTCAGTGGTGAGAAACACGGATGGCTTTTTTGCACTCTTAGTACAGCTGTCTGTGTATATGCTTGGAGGGTTGGGGGAGGACTTGGCACCTAAGTGGCAGCAGGTTGGCACCGTGGCAATGCCTTATTGTGTTGGCAAGAAAGGTTGCACCTTGTCTGTCTGCCATTCCATTTCACATACATTCATCGCTTTGCAGTCTTATTTGGCGCGTGAGCTTGGGAATACTGGAGGCAGACTCCGGTTCCCCCAAGGAAGACCTTTCCATGGGCAAGGGCTTCTGGAGGAGGGGGTGCCTGGCACTTGGAGTTGTCTAGCAGAGGCTGCGCCTGGGTGCTCTCTTCAAGCTGTGAAACTCCCACAGAGAAGAATGACTGGCCTGAGGTCACCCAGGGCATTTGTGTCAGGGCTGGGGCGAGAACCAGGTCTCTGATCCCGATACCAGGTGGGCATAGCTGGCGGGTGGTGCCCAGGACCCTGCTGAGTTGTGCCCCCTCTGCTCCCTGCAGGGGTCTTCCAGGGCCTTGATCTCTGCTGCCGGGAACACGACGGCTGCCCACAGACTGTCTCGCCCTTTCAGTACAACTATGGCATCCGAAACTACCGATTCCACACCATCTCCCACTGCGACTGTGATGCCAGGTTGGCGGTGGGCAGGGGGTGCTGGGGGTTTAGGCATGAGGCAGAGTTACCCAGTTCCTGGGTGCAGAGGCGGGAATTCCAGAGAATTCTAAAGGACCAGCCAGCCTGGATCCCACTCTGCAGGTGGGAAAGCTGAGGCTTGAGAGGAGAAGGGACTCTTGGACCCCAAACCACCTGGCTGGTAGTGACTGGGTGGACTGGGGGAGGAGCTGGGTGGCCTTCTGTGGTCCGGGGACCTGAGTGCTGGCTCTCGGGCAGGTTCCAGCAATGCCTTCAGAATCAGCGAGACTCCATCTCTGACGTTGTGGGCGTGGCCTTCTTTAACGTGCTGGAAACGCCCTGCTTCGTTCTGGAGGAGCAGGAGGCGTGTGTGGCATGGTACTGGTGGGGTGGGTAAGTGGCTGCCCCCTTCAAGACCCTTCCCCACCAGAGGGGAAGCCTGTGTTCCAAGCCTGGGGAGGGAGACCTGTCTGTATGTCTGTCCTCCAGGGAATGTTGCCTCGTCCTCTGCGTCCTCTCCTCAGGGCAAGGACCAGGATGCGTGTCCTCCCTGGGTGCCCTGCACGAATCAGCGGGATGAGGGATGGGAGTGGCAGAGCCTTGGTCTCCATGAAGAAGAACTCAGGGGCTTCTGGGACCAGGGATTCTGGGTTACCAGTTGCCACCCATTGCCACCTCCCAGGTGTAGAACATATGGCTCCCTACCCGTCGCCCGCCTCCAGCCCAGGACCCTCTACAATGCCTCCTGGAGCTCCCCAGCCACCCAGCTGACTCCCAGCCCCCAGAACCCAGCTCCCAGCAAGCGTCCATGGAAGCAGCACCCTCGGAAGCGGCCACCACAGTGGAAAGAGTCCAAAAACCCCAGCAAAGCCAACACCACAGCCCTCCAGGGCCCCATGACCTCCCCTAGGCCTGATATGGCCCCCACTGGGGGCCCCCATCCAGGCCTCCAGGGGCCATGGGGTGGCCTAAAACCTCAGGGTGAGCTCAGAACCTAACCTTAGCGGTCCCTGATGTGAGGAGGCGTCCCTGCCTCTGTGAGGGGTGAGGGTGGGGGGCGTGCATTCCTTCCCTTCTTGCTCTGAACTCCTCCTGGAGCTTCCCAACTTCTCTCATCAAATCGTGCTACAGTTCAAAGGATTTTCATAAGCCCCAAATTTGACTATGTCACTCCCCACTGAGCCCCCACTATGGCTCCTCTTACCTCAGCAGACATTGCCCCAACACCCAGGGAGCCTCAGGTGCTGGTCCCAAAGGCCCTACTCCCCAGTTTCACAAACTTCATTTGGTTCCTCAAAAGCAGCTTGTTCTCTCCCACTTCTGGGCCTTTACACATGCTGTTCCTTCTGCCTGGAGCACTCTCCCCTCCTCTTCCTCTCTCCCAGCCTCCGCTTAGCAACAACTGCCTCCAGGAAGCCTTTCCTGACCACTCTCCACACTCTGGGCATCCCCCATGGCAGTACAGCCATGTGTGTGTGTGTGTGTCAGTGTGACTCCCACGTGTACATACTGAGGGCATGAATAGCACGAGTTGGAGGGAGACTTTGCATGTGTGAGTGAGCACGGATGCCAGCGTTTCTTCTGAATGGCAGTGGGCACATCAGTGGGGCCTCCCTGGGGGACTGGGCTCCCTTCACCACCACACCTGCCCCCAGGTGCCCGCTGGGCCTGCCGCAGCTTCCGCCGCCTAGAACAGTGTGAACACCAGATCAGGCCTCAAGAGACCAAGTTCCAGCTGCTCAATAGTGCCCACGAGCCCCTCTTCCACTGCAATTGCACACGCCGGTGAGGCCCATTTGTACCCTCAGGGGTGGGCTGCCTGTTGCCAGGCACTGGGGAGGGCCACTTGGCTGGCAAGGCCCTGCCCTAGCCTGAGCCTACCTCTACCCTCAGTCTGGCACGCTTCCTGAGACTCCACAGCCCACTTGTTGGCACCCACATGCTTTGGGAGTTGCTGGGCATGACCTGCTTCAAGCTGGTCCCTCCACTGGACTGCGCTGAGGGCAAAGGGTAAGCAGAGCCAGGAGGGGTGGGGGATTTTCCCAAGGGGTGGGTTGCCTATACCCTCTTTGTGCGCCTGGCCCAAGGAGTGGGGGAAAGGGTTGGGGACCTCTGAGCTCCACTGTCATCATCCCCTACCCTCTGGTGCCCTGGGTTCAGCTCTGCAATTGGCCCATGTGAGTAGCATATTGACTCTGTCATTTACTTCCGAGGTGACGTTGCAAGTTGAGTCACCTCGCCACAACACCATTTCCCCATCTGTGAAATGGTTGTAGAAGCCCAGGAAATGGTGTGTGTGATGCATGTAGCCCAAGGCCTGCCGGGCAAGTGGCAGTTGCTTAACTCCTCCTAATCCACAATCTCACTTCCATTCCGATTCTCAAAGTCAGCCCCTTGTTACTTTTCCTATTTCACAGGTGAGGAAACTGAGGCCCAGACTGACTCAAGTTTCCGTAGCCAGCTAGTGGTTTATTCTTCCCCCTTCTAGGTGTATCCCACCCCTCCCCAGCCCCAGCCCTGCTCCTCTCTGGGCCTTGACCCCGCTGTCTGCAGACTAGGGTGGGATCCTTGGCAGCGACAACTGCCTGCCCTACTTTTCTCTTCCCACAGCTGTTCTAGAGACCCTAAGGCCATCAAGGTCTCAGCTCGGCACTTGCGGCGACTTCAGCAGAGGCGACTCCAGCTCCAGGGTGCAGGCACAGAAGAGGCACCGGCATGGCTTTCAGAGCACCCAAGGGCCCCCACATCATTCTATGACCGATGCCTGCAGCTGATGCAGGCAGCCCGAGGACCTGGGGGGCAGCAGAAATCTTGGAACCAGTGACCTCAGTTCCAGCTCTCCTGGGCAGCAGACTGGACCTTGCCCTTGGCTTTGCCAGGCCCTCAGGTTGGCCTCTTTTCAGTGTGTTAGACTGAAGCTTGGCACAGGCTCTGTGGACAGCCAGGACACTGGATGGGGAAGGCAGGGGAGCAAGACCCAATGCTGGACCATGTCTCCTGCTGCGCTGGTTGATCTTGGGCTGGTGACACAACCCCCTCTGTGCTTGGATGTGGTGTCCAGCAGGCTCATTCTGATCCCCTGGGCTTAGGCCTTGCCAAGGAACTTCACATCCAGATGGGAGCGGGGAGGGGGTAGCTTACTGCAGCAGCCCAGCAGAAGTACCAGAAGGAGGTACACGTATCTCCATGTTGCAAAATTAATACATGTCTCAAGGACCTGCCCAGGGGAGTCCCAGCGCCTGCCTGCTGAGGCTTGGGGCAGCAGGTGGGGAATGAGGATGTCACAGAAGTGCCGATGTCTGGATCTAGGATGGAGGGGCGCTAGAGGGGCTCCCCACTCCCCTCCTCCTGGGGGATTCCTTCTCTTAACAGCTGCTGTGCCCTTCCTGGCCCATTTTTTTCTGCTCTAAACCTAAATTCTAATCTCTCCCGTGCCTTTGAGCAGGGGACCTCCCTCTCCCACTCTGAGCCCTAGTTTCCTGCTCTGAAAAATGAGCGTGTAAACAGGATCTACCTCATAGGGTTCTTGAGGATTACGTGAACCAACACACGGATAACGCTTAGCACCCAATAAACGTTTCCTCCCTCCAACACACAGCTAAACTGTGCTAGGCATCTGATTTTGAGAGGCTCACATAACCTCTTGGAGGCCTCAGTTTGCTCACCTGTGAAATGGGTCTAAGAATGGCACTGACCTCAACACCACAACTCAGGGTCACGGTACAAATTAAAGGAGATTGCGTGTGTAATGTATACAGCTAGTGCCTGGTAATTGTCACATCTGTCATCCTCTCGCCTCTTTAGTCCCTTCCTCTGACTATTCCCACCCCCAGACTGCTAACAAGTTAGGAAGGAGTCAGGAGTGAGGCTGGAGAATTTAATTCCTAATCGATGACCTCCAGGTCGCGCCCCCATCCCAGATGGGGGCTCATATAGGGCTTTGCTGATTGTCACAGTTGAGGTGCCAGGACCGAGTTTGGAGGACCCCAGTTGGCCACCCCTGGCCAGGACAGAGTGGCAGGTGCGAATTAAGCTGGAGTAGCAGCAGGAGGAAGGCAGGTGGATTTACAGAAGATTGGGGCAGAGTGGGGGCCACCTGGGCCCTCCTGTCCACCCCACCCTCAGGGCCCCAGGCCCCCTTCCTCTAACCCCTGCCGGCCCTGGGGGCTGGGAGACAGGCTGTCGGGGGCTGAAGCCTCCCGATCAGGTCCCCAGGGGCCGCCACCCCCAGGGTCTACAGTCTCCAGGCGCAAGGCAGGCAGCAAGCCCAGGCTTCGAGGCACAGATGACGGGAAAGCCCAGGTGCCAGGCAGCCCAGAGGGCCCCTCCTCACTACTGCCCCAGCTGCTGCCATCACTGCCCGTGTCAGAGGCCACCCTGGGCACACAGCGGCTCTGCGGCGAGGGGCTGCGGCTGGTGCCACGGCGTTCGCGGGATGAGGGTCGCAGGGCGAGGCCAGGAAAGCGGGCCAGGCCCGGGCTGCGGCTGCGGTGCCGTTTAGACTTGCCAGGGCTGGGGCTGCGGGACTTGGGTGCAAGCAGCTCCAGGGTGCTGTCATCCTCATCCTCCGAGCTGGCACCTGAGCTGTCTGTGCTACTGCTGGCCGACTCTGAGGTAGGCAGCGAGATCTGGGGGAAGACTGGTCACTGAGGTGCCTTGCTCCCCAACCGGCCATGGAGGCCTCTTGGAACTACTCCAACCCTCCCCACCGGCAGACCCAGGAAGGCCAGGCTACTTGTAGGAGGTCACAGAGTAGAATGTAGAGGATGTAGCATGTGAACAGGGTCTTATGGCACCCCCGACCGTGCAGTCTGGCCTACTCACCTGGAAGGGCTCAGTGACCCCAATGAGGATGCTGTGGGTGTGGCTGTAATAGCCCAGGATGAAGTCTCCATGGCCCTTGGGTAGCGACTCTTCACTGAATGTCACCTGGTGGGCCCCGGGGGTACAGGCCCAGGTTGGAGTAAGGGAGGCAGCTTCAGGACCACTCAAACCGAGTCCTGAGTCCCTAAGGCCAACGGGGACTTCTTCCCACTCTCCTCCTCCTGTTAAGTACCTGGAAGATGTTCCCGTCCACATCCTCGTGTTTGGCCCAGACATAAGCCACATAGTCCTTGCAGTGACGGAAACCCACCTGGGGAAGAGGAATCAGGGTTGTGACCCCTAACCGCTACCCTGAGGAGCCTTTTGGTGTGGAATCAAACTCTGCAGAAGCCAGTGATCCCACCTGGGTGCCCGGCTGCTCCTCCAGGCCCTTCCTTCCCCAAGTCACTGCCCACCCCTGCCCTTCTTACCCGGTACAAGCCGATCCAGTCCCAAGAGCTGCGGGCGAACACTGTTTCCATGCGGTACCTCACCACAGCCTGCTCTGGCCGCACCCACTCGTCTGCCACCTCCAGCCGCACCAGTGGCATGTCATCCCTGAAGGCGAACTGCCCAGGGGCAGGGGGCAACATCAGGGGAGGCCCTCTAGCATCCCTTGGCCCTAGAGCCCTTGGGCCTGAGTCAGCACAAACTGGCTGAGATGAAGGGCCTTTGAAGCCACTGTACAGACTGGGAAACTGAGGCAGAACAGGTCTAGGATAAAAGCCAGGCTTCCTGCCTCCCAGCCCAGGGCTTTTTCTGTCCATAGCCTCCTGAAGGAGTAAGTGAGAACACAAGGTTTGAAGCTAGCAGACCATGGGTTTGGCCCTGCCTCTGCCATTAACAGGCTGTGTGACCCTGGGTGAATTTCTCGACCTCTCTGAACGCCAGAGCTCTTATCTATAAACTCAGATGATCTTATTTAATTCTTGGGATTATTCAGCAGATTCAATGAGACACCATTTGTAAAGCATCCCATAAACTTCCCAGTACACAGTACATACTCAGTGAATGATTCGCCTATATGCTTGCAAGGGACACAGGTAAAGTCCCATGATGCACTGGATTTTCTGGTGTAAGCTGAACAGCCCCTGAGCTGACAAGAAGAGCCCTGGTAGAAGGCTAGAGACCTCAGTTCATTTCCAGGTTTTGCTACTAACGTGCTGCATGACCTCAGGTAAGCCCCTAGCCAAGCCAAGACCCAGTTTCCCCACCTATACTAAGGGGCCACTATTACCTTGTTTGTCATCGGTCCACGAAGACAGTTATAACCATGAGTATCCTCTTCCCAGGGTCACCCCAGGCCGATAAAGGGGTCAGCCATGTGGGTGGTGTTGCTGCGGTGGCTGGGGTGGCAGGTGGCCAGGGTATTGGTTCCACCTCTGTCCCTCAGGGAAGGACAAGGGTGGTGCCAGCCTCAGGCTTTTGTCTGCTCCCCTTTCATCTGGTTTCAGGTTTCCCTCTGTCCTCAGCTTCTAAGCCAAGCTTCTCCAGAAGAAACCAGCACATCCCCTCCCGCCCCTGGCTTCCTAACAGTGGGTCTGGACAGGGTGTGCTCTTGGAAATACCCTTCAGGGCCTTGCGGGGTCAAAAGTTTCAGTGAGCCCCCTTCTGACTGTGTTGCCTTGGGTGAGAGACTTAAGTTCTCTGAGCCTCAGTTTCCCTCACCAGTAAAACTGGGAGGAGAATTTGGACATCTCAGGGCCTGCTAAAGCACTCAGAGGGATGACATGTGAAGTGCCCCGCACAGGACCTGGCACGTAGCAGGTGCTCCAGAGGTCACGTTTTGTGAGGGACAAAGTTCAGGGTAGGTCGCCCAAAAGGAGTGGTTCTCCAGGTGAGGTCTCTGACTGAGGGCTAAATGTCTCACCCAAGCCTTTTACCAAAGCTCACAGGAGGCCAGACATGGGAGATTTCCATCCCCGGCTGAGGATATTGGCCAACGCCCCACCGACTGACCGTGTGACAAAGTTACCAAGGAAAACACTCTCTGGCCTGCAGGGCTCCCTCTTCTCAGATCAAGAGAATCGGAGAGCCCAGGGTTGGGTTTCAGAGTTGAAAAGATGGGACCTACCCAGGCCTGCCCCTGAGCCTGTGTATGACTTGGGGCATGTGCCTACCCCATTAGGGGCCTCAGTTTCCCCATAGAAAAACAGAGAGTTGGACTACATGGTCTCTCAGGTCCGGTTCTGACATTCTGGGATTTCTCCTTTTTACTTTGTCAACCAGGGACCTCAATCTAACACAATGCTAAATTATAGTACCTATTTAGAGTTAAGCTTTGTATTTTTTATTTATGTACTCTGTGCCCCCCCACCATTACTACCCTCTCTAATAGTGCCTGGCACATGGTGAGATGGTAAATAAATAATGAATGGATATGAATGAATGCTACCTGAGGTTTGAGTAAATGTTTTGATTTTGTTGGTCTTATTATCTATGTGAATTTTTTTTTTTTGAGGAAGATTAGCCCTGAGCTAACATCTGCTGCCAATCCTCCTCTTTTTTGCTGAGGAAGACTGGCCCTTAGCTAACATCCATGTGCCCATCTTCCTCTACTTTATATGTGGGACGCCTACCACCTGGCTTGACAAGCAGTGCGTAGGTCTGAACCCGGGATCTGAACCAGCAAACCCAGGACTGCCGAAGTGTAATGTGCAAACTTAACTGCTGCACCACCGGGCCAGCCCTCTATCTATGTGAATTTTAACATAAATTGCCCTAAACCTTTCTCAGAAGAAGGGAGTTAGAGATTAGCGGAAAAGGCATGGGCTCTGAAGTTAGACTAGCCTGAGTTCAACTCCTAATTTTTCCCTTTACTAGCTGTGTGACCCTGGGCAAGTGATGCTGTGTCTCTGAGCCTCAGTTTCCTCATCTGAAAATGGAGATCATAACCCACTCCCACTCTGCTATGATGAATGGACGCTGCTGAAGGCACGTGCAAAGGTTTCTGGTGGAGAGTGGGATGCTGAGCTGGGCTTACATGGGGATGTCATGAGGGGAGATGAGGCCAGGACTCACTTGCAGAATGAACTGGGCAGCCACGGGCTTGTGGTCACTGACTGTGTATTCCATGTGGCTGCGGTAGCTGTGCTGGGTCACCTGAAGCCGGTGGCTCTCCCGTCCTGAGGGGCTGGGACCCCCACCTGGAGGCTTGACCTTCCATAGGATACGGTCTGTCCAAGCTGGCTTCCGCTTCTTGGCACTGCAGTGGGCAGGGGTAGCCCCAGTTTCAGGGGCTGGGGCTCAAGGCACAGCCCCCAGCCTTGGCTTCTGCCCCTCTTCCCAGTCTCCTTTATCCAAAGACCCCAACCCATGTCCCCACCTCATCCAGCCCTGAGCTCACCTGGTATCATATTTGTTAGTACCCACATCAAACTTGAAGGTAGGTGCAAAGTTGAGGGGCCCTTCCTGGAAGCCCTTCAGGATGGGCCAGGTGTTCTTGGCCATGTTGAGCTGTGAGAGTCCAGGAGGGTAGAATTGGACAATAGCTTGGGCAGGCCAGGTGAGGGCAGGGACCATAGTCTAGGGAGCAGGTGTTCCTGGGGCATGCTCTGTGTGCTTGGGGTTTTGGGGTGCAGATTGGGATTCCGCACCTGGTCCTTCTCCCAGAGCTGATGGAGTTGGTCACTGTCGATGGCAAACTTGACAAAGTGCAGGTCGTAGCTCTCGATGCGGAAGTTCAGGTCTCCGAACCAGAACACAAGGCTGTTTGGGGGAGGGGATCAGCAGGGTGGAAGAGCCCAACCAGATCCTTCTCCACCCTTATCCGACCCAACCCTACTGGCTGCCCTAGGGATGATGCAGTGGGAGGGTGGTGGTGGCAGAGCCGTCAGCCCTCCAAGAAGCAGCAGGGGAGGCGAGGGCCAATCTAAAGCAAATTTAGGTTCCGACCCTTAGCAAGGCCCTGCCTCTCAACAAAGCTCCACCTTGCAGGCTTCCTCCTGCACCATCAAATTAACTAGCATTCTTGTTCCTAGATGTAGTTTTGGGGCTCACCCACCTCTATAGGCCCCTCCCTACAAGGCTCGCCCAGGCGGATACACAGCTCTTTGCGGCAAGTTTTCAGAGACTATAGCCTCTGAGACCCACCTCTCCTTCACTAGCCCCGCCCCAGCTCCATTCGGCCCCGCCCCTGCCCCTACTCGTGATCCAGGATGCCTTGCGCGCCGGGCCCCTGGAACTGCTGGAGGCTGAGGATGGTCTGGAAGTTGTCCTTGCGCTGCTCGGCCTTGTCCATGTGCGCTGGCAGGTGGCAGTTCAGGAAGCAGAGCATGTGCCCGAAGGCTGCCAGTCGCACGCTCACTCCACCTTTGTTGCCCTTGGGAAGCAGTGTGGGCGGGTCATGGGCGTGGCCTAGGTGAGGCGGTGAGACACTGGGCGGGGCGTGGAGAGGTGCGGGGCCAGCCAGCCAGAGGAGAAGCCTGGAGAGGGGTGGGTTCTACGAAAAGGGAAAGAACACGGACCGACAGGAAAGGGGCGGGGTACTGGATGGGGTTGGGGAGAGGCGGGCGTCAGAGTAAGGGGTGGAGCGTTGGGAGGGGACTTTGCCAGTGCGTGGGTCCGAGTCCGGGGGACTAACCTACGGACCCCTCCGGTGCTCACCCAATAGCCACCCAGGCCAGTGCGCGTGCAATCGGTCTGCACGTTCCTCAGGAAGGGCAGGTGGTAGTACTTGGCGAACAGCAGCAGGATGACGCCCTGCATCCGCACAGTACTCACCTGCGGCAGGAGGCGATGTGGCTGAGGGACAGGACACAACTCCCCCGCCCCCGACTTTTCCGGTCCTTAAGGTCTGCTCCTCCATCCTCCCATTTCACGCACCCGGCAACAGAAGCCTAGCGGGCCCCACAGTGAGTCAAGGCAGAGCTAGGGCCAGGAATCCAGGGGGTCTCCGTCCGTCCAGGGACTGAGAGAGGCGTTACCAGCACGAAGTTGAAGGGCCCCAGTGCGTCCATGAAGAGCTCGCTCCACTGGTCTGTGAAGAGCGCGTCCTTGAGCCGCTTGTTGATCATGGAATTCACTTCCTGCAACCTGGTGGGGGAGGGGGGAGGAGGGGAGTTGGGGGGCGCCCTAGAAGCCCCTCCCGTGAGTAAGGGTCTAGGAGGCACGAGGGGCTCAGGGCGGGGTTCACGCGCCCTGCCTCCTTACCCTATGGCAATCATGTCTGCCCCGTCACTGTCATCGCTGCTGCTGCCCAGGTGGAGGAGGGAGGTGACATCGTCGGGGGGCATGGCAGTGCCCACATTCCACGTGACCACAGTGATCCTGGGGGTAGGGGTATAGGAGGGGTTATTGCTGGGTACTACTCTGTCGTCCTCAACCTCCCTCCCACAGGGCTCTTTCCGGGGACAAAAACTCAGGCAGCTGTGGGTGTAAACCCTCAGAAGGACCCACAGTGGGCCCAGTATTCCTCCTCCTAGGCTCTCCCTGGGGAGATCAATTGAGGTAAGGGTGGGTAAGTCCCTTAGGAGGGGATGCTGTCTTCTGAGGGTCCCAGACTGGTGGTCCCAGCACCTCCAAAGGTACTTCCTCAGAGAGGTAAACTGGGGCAGAGTAGGGCAAGCCACCCTGAAAGGATGGCTCATCTTAGAGCTCAAGCCCCAGCAGTCTTTCTTAGGAGAGGGCCCCCTTACCGGAAGCCGGGGTCGCTCTTGCAGGTGGGCTGAGCTGACCAAGAGGAGGATGACGAGGTGGATGTAGAAGGGGAGGTGGTGATCAGGGTTGGGGTTTCTTGAGGCTGAAGGCTGGGGCTCAGGTGCCTTCCAGGCCCTGCACCCTGGGTGCCAGCCCTGGGGAGGGCCATCTCAGGGGCTGAGGGGACACCGGGGGAGCGGTTGGGGGAGCGGCTGGGGGAACGGCTGGGAGAACGGGGCGGCTTGGGCAGAGTTGGAGGAATGGTTTGGGTTGAGGGGGCCCCTGGCCGGAAGGTGGGGGACAGAAGTCCTGGGGAGCGAGTGCCAGGCTCTGGAGGGCCCTGGCCCACATCCAGGGGCAGGGTCTGGGGTGGCCGGGGCAGGACGGGATCCTCAGGGCTGCTGCGGGGGGCCTCAGGCCGGGCTCTGAAGGAGGGGGAGATCCGGGGATCCGGGGGGGCTTGGATCAAGGATCGGGAGCCCACAGGACCAGCTTCCTGAGCGGGAGGCTGGAGATGCCCTTCAGAAGAGGGGAGAGTTCTAGGCGCTGGGGCAGCCCTCTGTTTATCTGGTGTCCATCCCACGGAGGCTGGGGCTGATGTTTTGGATGCTGGAGCCAGGGCCTGCTCCTGAGAGGGCAACAGAACTGGACTGGGTGCTGGGGAAGAACTGGAGGGGGGCTGTGGGGGCTTTTCCTCAGATGCCAGGGCCAGGCACAGGCCCGAAGCGGCCAGTGCTGGCTTGGGTCCCACAGAGGCAGGTGGCGCCTGCTTCTGGTCCCTGGGCCCCATGGTGACTAGGGGAGGCCTCGGCCCAGCTGAGGCAGACATCACCAGCTGCCCCAGGGATGTCGGAGCCAGGACCGAGCCTGAGGTCGTTGGAGGAGGCTTCGGCCCAGCCGAGGCAGACATCACCAACTGGCCCACAGATGTTGGAGCTAGGCTGGAGCTGCGGCGGGCAGGAGCTGTTTTCTGTCCTCCAGGGGTAGACAGTGGAGCCAGGATGGGTCGGGGAGATGCCAGAGCCAGCCTTGGGCCCTCTGAGGAAGGTGGCATCGCTGCTGGTGGCCTCACAGGTACCAGAGCCAGCCTTGGTTCCGAGGGCACTGGGGCTGCATTCTTCTTTGCTGGGCGCTGAAAACTTGAATCCACCTTGTAGAGGACAAGTCAAAGAATCAGGGTAACCCGAACGAGGGGGTCAGGTCTTGACTTCCAAATAGACCCCAGCAGACTCCATCTAGCTAAAAAGGGAACATCTTCCCAAGGAAGTTCTTCCTAATTTCTCCCCTCAATCCATTCTGCTTCCAATCATCTTCTCTTTTGGAGGAAACAGGACACAGGCCCCTATTCTCTCCCTCAAGTCTGATGCCTCTTTCACAGATGGGGAAACTAAGACCCCCCCCGACTCAAATGAGGCAGAGTGTGAACCTGACCCCATGGGCTGTCCTTTTCTTCCTGGCTGGCACTCACTCCCTGGCCACCCTGGAGCCAGTTTCCCTGGGCAACCCTCCCTGCCGTCCCCGCTTCTCCCCTGGCCAAGGGCAACTGACCTGACACCCGAGATCTGCCCACCCTGGGTCCAGCCTGTTGAATACCCTTCCCTTCCTCCACCATGCCCAGGACCCCTCAGGTTGCTCCTCCCCCTTCCAAACATCCCAAACTCCTTGGCCACAGCCCTCCCTGACCTCCTCACTCATTCCTAGAGCTCCAAGCTGGAGCAAGAGTCCGGGGCTGAGCCTGGCCATGTGGATTCCAAGCCCAGTTCTGTGTGACCTTAGGCAGGCACCTCTCTGCCCAGGGCCTCAGTTTCCCTGTCTTTAAAATGAAGGAAACTGCAAAAGGTCGCTGGCCATGCCTGGTCCCTGGGAAGACTTGGTCTCATATTCTCTGCATTTATGAGCCCCACGTTTGCTCGGATTTTGCTTGAGCCCCGTGGAATAGTCCCTTCTCACCAAGTGTGATTCTAACATTCAGAGGAATTCCAGGGTTCTGTTGATCCCAACATCGCACCTCTCTGTGCCCAGGTTGTACCCTCTGACCCTCTTCACCCTCTCCCCGACCTGTGAGGACAGGCAAGCAGGGATCTCCTTTTGGTCCAGCAGGTGGAGTGGGGGTCACGGTGCCCTGCAGGGACCTCCTCTCCCTTTTCCATTCCTCCCCTGTTTCTGATGCCCCTGCCTCCAGAAGACAGGATAGAGTGTCTTTTGCCAGGGAGGGCAGAAGGTTTACACTCACTCTGGGTGGCCCCATCCCTGCCTCCAGAGGTGCAGTTCTGTCTGCATCCTCTGTCCTTCTCAGTTCAGAGAACCTGAAACTCAGCTGTTTGAGGCAGCATTTTGGGCATCTTCCTTGGCTCCAGGTGTCCCACACGGCACTCCCCCCATTAACCACCACACCGCCTCCAGCACTAACAACTTAGACATCCCAGATGTCACAGTTTTAGTCTTCAGGGACAAGCCTCCTCATTTTGCATTGGCTCAGAGAGGACAAGCAACTTGCCCAAGGTCACACAGCAAAGCTGGAGCACAGCTGGGTCCCCTGACACCCAGTCCACCCAGCCTGGGGGCTTCTGGAGATGGCTAACTCCATCACTCTCTGGGTGTCCTGTCACTGCCCCCTCAGCCCCCAAGGTGCCCTGTTTGCCAGCCCTGCTTTGTGGGCAGAGGAGAGTGCCAGCCCCTCAGATAGGGGCACCAGGGTGCCTTCGGTGTGTGTGGGGGTGTGGGACCAAGGATCAGGAATGTGGGGGCTGGGTTTTCGGAGTCTTACCTTGGAGGGTGCCCCAGTTTGGGAAACCCCATGGGGCATGGGCAAGGGGCCCAGGCCAGCCCGGGTCCCTGGCCTCCTGCGGCTACTGCTGCTCTGGCCCTCCATGTCTGCAGCCCCCGGCAGCTCCCGGGCTCCCAGGGCTCTGGCTCCAGCCTCTCCGCTCCCGGGAACCAGTGATGTCATCAGCCGTTTCAACCTGCTGAGAATTTAAAGGCACAGACGCCCACTTCCCAACCTAGAGATGGCCAGGGCCAGGTGGCCTACCCCCTGGGAACCCTTCAAGGTGGCTGCTGAGGCTGGAAGGGCCATGGGGCGGGGAGGAATGTGCCTGTTAGCCTGGCCAGGTCCCAACTGGCAGCATGGAGGAGGCTGTCTGTCTGTCTGCACCCTCCTACCTGTAGGCCTGGCCAGCCCTTGCCCAAGGGAGGGGCATTGACATACCTGAGGGTAAGCTAAAGGTAAGTAGCTCAGAGGTCATAACCCTCTTCAGGGCCTCAGAGACACCTGAGTCCCTGCCCTGATCCATGACCTTCCTGATGCCCTGCCAGCTCAGAGCTTGCCATGGCCCCCACCCTTGCCCCATTTTCAGGCCTTGGTGCCCGCTTCCCGCCTGGCTGTATCCTTCCCATCTCAGAGCCAGACACTCAGGCTCCAGCAACTGGAGTCTTTTCCCATCTCAGCCACAGCACTGGCCCCTCCTCTTCTGCAGATACCTGCCGCCTGCCCTCAGATGTCCGCAACCAGGCCCTTCCCTGCCCAGCTCCTCTCAGCTTTCCTCTCTCCGTACTTACTGGGTGTGGTTTGGGAGAGGGACTTTCTCAAGGTCACCTGGTGAGCTGGGGAGGTCTCCTGAGTTTCAATGAGGAAAGGGACCTCCCTCAGTGACCCAAGACCAGCACGAGCCAATTGGGGTATCTGGAGGAAGGGAACTGGGGTGGAGAAGGGCCCAACAGTAGGGGAACAGATTGGCAGGAGGGTCAAAAAAGGCCTGGGAGGTCCTTTGGCCAGGACCCAACACAAGGTCTGGTCTGCAACAGGCCTAGGGAAGTGTTTATTCAATGAATGAACGAATGAATAAATGAGAAGAGTGAATGAGTGACAAGTTCAGATATGGCCAGGGAGGGCTGTGGGCCCCCTGCTTCTGCCTCTTCTCCACTCTCATTCTTATCTGCTAAGCAGTCCCTGAAATGCCAATCCCTCCAGAATTGCTGGATTGCTTAGAGAGGATTGACCCTGCTCCATTTAGGCAGAAAATGTTTAGAGTTTTATGTTCAGAGCTCCCTGTTGGCCAACAGTCACCTCTGTATCCTCTTGGGCCTGCGTGGTCCCCTACATGAAAGTCATGTGGATGATGCCTCAGTCCTCTCTCCTGGATGGGCTTCCCACCTCTGCTTGACTGTCTCAGGGTCTAGTCAGTGTTTCTGGGCCAGCATTTCTGTGAGGCTGGAATTTGCAGGGGTGAAGACCCAGACCATATTAGAGCCCTGGAGTAGAAAGGATTTTGGACAGTGATTGTGGAGGTTATGATGGTGGTGATGAGGAAGTGATTGTAGAGGTGGAGATGATAATGTATGTAATTATGATGGAAGTGAAGGACTGAGAGTGATGGTGGAGGTGATGGTGCTGGCAAAGGTGGAGGTGATAGTGATGGTTCTGATAAATGGAGATGGTAGAGGTAGTGGAGGTGATGATGATTGCAATGGTGGAGGTGCTAACAGAGGTACAGATGGTGATGGTGGAGATAGTAGAATGAAGGGGTGGTGGTAATGGTGATGAGGGTGACAGTAAAAGTGGAGGAGCAATGAAGGCAGAAGAGGTGGTGGGGGTGTTATGTTGCTGGAAGAAGAGGTGGTAGAGGAGTTGGAGGTGAAGGTGGGGTGGTGGTGTAGAGTGGACATGAGGGTGGTGCTCTGGCCACCAGAGAGTGAGGGAAAATTTGAACTTGCGCAGCCCTCTGACTTCTATTTTACAGCTGAGAAAATGAGACCTCCAACAGTACCCGGCTTCTGATACAATCCCGGAAGGAGTTGGGAGCAGATCCAGGCCTCCAGGACCAGTCCTAGGGCTCAGCTATCTGAGGCTGGGACAGGGCATCAGTGCCCTTTGGAAGCCAGGCAAATGTCATGCAAGTGAGTGTATGGAGGGCTCCTCTGCCCCACCAGGGCAGCCCAGGATTTCCCGTCATCTCCCCTCCATCAGCTCAGACGCGCAGAGTCCTTTGTTCTGGAGTTGCCACTGATTTACTTGGGAGGTCACTCAGATTTCTGAATTGTGTAAAGGAGATAAAAACAGTAGATACCTCCTAAGATCACTGTGAGGATTCAATAAGATAAGACATATGAAGTGTTTAGCACACAGCCTGGCACAAGCAAGCTTTCGGTAAGGGCAGCTGCTCTGGTCGTCATCATCGTTGTTGTCATCATCATCATCATCATCATCATCATCATCACCATCATCATCAATCATCATCTACTCCAACCTTCCCATTTGGTGGATGTGGAAACCGAGGCCCGGTGTAGGTACATTCCTTGGGGGAAGGGGAAGGGGCTCTGAGACCCAGACATGGCCTTGCCAAGGGAAGGGAGCAGGGGGCGGACCTGGGCTGAGAAGGGAGCGTGTTAAGAGCTATATTTGAGCTCCTAGTGTGATGACTAAGGAGGCTGATAACAGGCTGTGGGGCTGCAGGCCGGGGGCAGCTGCCAGGGAGAACCGCCCCCCTGGAGACGGCTGTCTCCGGAGGCCCCTCCTGGCTCCCTCCGTTCCCTCGCTCCAGGGGGTGAGGGGGTGTACTGAGGCAGAGGGTACAGTCTGTCCAGCCTCCTCCTGGAAACTCTTGGTGTACCCTTCAGGCTGTTTGGGCCAGGAAGAGGAAAGGAGGGGGCTAGTGGTTGATGGATTATCTCAGTAACCCTGTGAGGTTGGTAATAAGATTCCCATTGACAGAGGAAGAAACTAAGGCCTAGAGATTACACAGCTGGTAGGAGACAGTGCAGAGGGTTCCCAGGGAGATAGTGGATAATATTCCCCCACAGAGGTGACTGTTGAACCCCTTCTTTGGCGGAGAGTCTGTGTAGCCACATTGAAATAAGGAAAACTGCCCTGGGAAGCAGAGAGGGCAGTAGGTGCAAAGGTATGGTGTGTGGAAGGTTCCAGCTGTGAAAGGATGCAAAGTTTGGACACGTGCCCTCGTGGCCCTTTGGCTCAGAGTAAATCCACCATGAGCAGGAAAGAGAGAGAGACTTTCTCCTTCCTCTTTCCTCCTCCTTTCCGTTGATTCACCTCCCAGAGGCATCTGTGGATGGCAATGGTACAGAAGGGTCTGTCCTCCTTCCTTTCGCTCCCCAGTCACTCTGACCCATGCCCATCATGAGGGAGGTCACACTGTGGGCACTAGCTGAGAAATGTCTCAAGATGTAGAGGGTGCTACAGGGTATTGTGGGAAGGTGGAAGAGGTAAGCTTTAGGGAGGGCTTCTGGAAGAGAAAGTGTATAGGCCCTGGAGGAGCATTTCTCCTTCTAAGACTTCACTCCAGGGTTCCTTATTGGTACCAAGTGCCATATGTTATGGCACTGTCCCCTCGTTCTCACCCTCTGGGGCGGGTGTCATCCTTACCTCCCATTCTGCCCCTGAGGAAATGGGCTCATGAAGGAGGAGTGACTTTCCCAAGGTCACACTGTTGGGGCTGAGCTCAGGCATCCCTCCTCCCTGTCCTCAGCTCCTCCTCCCCCCAGGCTGCCTGGCACCCGCTGTCAGCTGCTCTGAAGTGAGTGGCTATTTTTATTCTGGTGCGAGGGGATCTCGGGCAGCAGAGCCATGTAGGTTAGAAGACTCTAGGACAACCAGCTTTAGCAGGCAAGGGGAGGCTTACTGCAAGGATGTAAGCTTGCCTGGGGGCTCTCATTCGCAGGCCAACATGCCCTGGGCTCCCATGTCTCCAGAAACTTCTTTACTGGAGCTCAGAACAGAGCATTGAGCCAGACTAAACCTGGGCCCTGATCCTGGATCCAAATTAAGCCCTAATCTTGGTGTTAACTGAGCCCTGATCCCATGCCAAGACTGAGCCTCTATCCCAGCTCTATCTATTGACCATTAAGCCCCAACTCTAGTCATGAACTGAGCCTGATCCAAGCCTGACTAAGGCTGATCAACTTGAGACCTTGATTCTGGACCCAGACTGAGCCCTGATCCTAGCCTAAGACTGAGCCATAGTCACAGACTGAACTCAAACCCTAGTCCAGACTAACTCTTGATTTTAGACTGAGCCCTGAGCCCAGGGTTAGACTGAGCTCCAAGTCTAGTCATTAACTGAACCCTGAACCTGCTGGCAGACTGAGCCCTGATCTTGGTCAGAGACTAAACCCTGAGCCTGATCATTGACTGAACTCTGATACTGAACCCGATCATACTGAGCTCTGACTCTGGGTCACACAAAACTCTGGTCAGACACTGAGCTCTGATCTCAGACTATGCACTGAATCTCATCCCAGACTGATCCTTGATCCTGGTCACAGGCTGAGACCCAATCCCGATCACTGACTGAGCCCTGACTTCAGCCCTAGACTCAGTTCTAAATCTGGTCTTAGGCTAAGTGCTGACCTTGACCCTGTCTGAGCCTGACCCCATCACAGACTAAACCTCAAACCCAGCCCTACCTGAGGAAGGCTGCTGGCCTAGATTATAAACTGCCACATAAGGGCATGGATTACGAGCAGAGATCTGTACTGGGAGATCCTGGGCCTCCCATGGCTACTGATGCCAGAATGTTCCCGGTACTGTTGTGGCCACTGTCTCTACCACCAGTTCCACTGGATGACTAGTCAGCCCTCAGCAGCCTAGGCTGTGGCCCCTCGAGGCTGCAGAGTCCAGGTTAATGCAATGAGAGTGGTTTGGTGGCATCTGTCCAGAGAATAATGTGGGCTCATGGGGTACTGAGGTTTGGCTCTGGCAGCAGGAAAACCACAGCCTCCGTGGGGTCCTCTGGCTTCAGCCATTCTCAGGCCCCTGTTGGGGTGTGGCGTGGGGTAGAGGGAACCTGTGGCATATATTCCATTATTTTTGTAAACAAAGTTTATTGTTTGAGTTTAGGTAATACATGTTTATTATAGAAAATACAGAAAAAAGTGTAAAGGAGAAAAAAAATTCACCAATAATGTCATCTACCAAGAGATGCCCATTTTGACTTCTTGGGTTGTTTCCTTCTAGATTTTGGTTTTTGGTCTAGGCATATATATTTACATATACATATGTGTGTGTGTGTGTATATACATATATATATATTTTGGTAAGGAAGATTGTCCCTGAGCTAACATCTGTTCCAGTCTTCCTCTATTTTGTATGTGGGATGCCGCTGCAGCACGGCTTGATGAGCAGTTTGTAGGTCCACACCTAGGATCCAGGCCTGCAAACCCTAGTGGGGCCCGCGAACTTAACCACTATGCCACTGGGCCGGCCCTATATATATATATTTTATAAAATTGGTTGGCTGTTGCCTCCACAACATCTGTTGCAGCCCATATCCTTCTAGGCAGGCTTCAGGAATGGGTCCCAATTGGTTAAGTCAGTGAGCAATTCCCATTTCCCTAGCCACATGTTTGGATCATGGATGGACCAGTGAGATAAAAGGAGACTTTTGCTGAGAGCTTTCGGGAGAGAAAGTTTATTTTCTCTCCTGAGGAAGTCACCAAAAAAGATTTTCCCTACAATTAGATATGAATAAAGAAGTCTGTGGCCCTGGTTACTGCTGGCAGCCATCTTGACATCAAGTAGGTAGCTAGCCTAATGATAAGCTGATTCTGTGGAAACCAGAATGGAGACAGATCAGGTCTTGGTGACTTTATTAACTGGATGAAACCTCACCTGAAGCCCTTGCTGTCATTGGACTTTTTGTTATTTGAGTGAACAGATTCCCTTCATTGTTTAAGCCAGTTGAACTTGGGGTTTCTGTGACTTGCAGCCCAGAGCATTGCAACTCCCAACTGATATTACTGTCTCATAGCTTTTATTTTTTTGATATTTAATGCCATAACTATGAACATTCTCCATGTCATTCAACACTATGCTACATCACTTTAAACAACTGCATGGTTTCCTATCCTATGGAGGTACCATCATTTATTCACGCATCATCTGCTGCGACATGCTTAGGTTGTGTGTCCAGTTTTTCACCATGATAAACAGTGTTTTGTTTTGTGTTAGATTTTATTTTTCCTTTTTCTCCCAAATCCCCCCAGTACATAGTTGTATATTTTTAGTTGTGTGTCCTTCTAGTTGTGGCATGTGGGACGCCGCCTCAGCGTGGCCTGATGAGCAGTGCCATGTCCGCGCCTAGGATTCGAACTGGCGAAACCCTGGGCCGTTGAAGCAGAGTGCGCGAACTTAACCATTTGGCCACGGAGCCAGCCCCACTAAACAGTATTTTGATAAACAATCTTGACCTAACAATTGGTCCCCTCTTTGATGATTACTTTGGTTCAAGTTCTGAGAAGTGGAATGACTGGGTCAAAGAAAGGTTTTTAGGGTTTTGATTTATTGAGTCAAATTGCCCTTCAGAAAGCTTGGATGAATTCACACTTCCACAGCAATAAACAGAGTTTTACACAGAGCCTATGATGTCAATAATTTAGAGAGAACCAATTATATTTACAATATTTCAGAGAATGTATTTATATGGAATATTAAATAATTAACAATTTAATTAAATAATAAGTAAGAGCTCTAAGTCTATAAATCTTTACACTAAAGTCAGCAAATGTGAACTAGCAGGATACCCGCAAAGGGCTCAGTGCAGACCTGACTTAACCATTAGGCTCAGTATCAAGGGCCTACGATACTTCTAGGGGTCCACGAAAATGTTTTAATTTTAATTTCTTATAAAATTGGGGGAAAAGAATGAATATCTAATAGTAATGAATCCAGTCAGGATTGTATTCATCTTTTTATTAAAGCAGTTGTAAGATCCCATTTTTAATATATTTTTTTAATGGAGGAAGGGGCCCAGAAAGGCAAAAATGCCTAGGGTCCATGAAAGTCGTAATGCAGCCTTGGTTTGATGTTGAGAAGGATTCTGAGTCCCAGTCTAGATTCAGTGGGAAAGAGAACTGCCATCAATTTGCTGTGTCTGCCTTAGGCTTGAAGATGCGGAAGTTGCATCCTGATCTAGTCATCTTTCGTTTGCTGAGATGAGCACAGAGACGTTTCTGGTTCAAATCCCAAATCCACAACTTAATCGGTTTACCTTTCTGAACCTGTTTCCTAACCTACAAAACGGAGTCCTGGGGCCTTTATGAGGTAAGAAATGAAATAATGAAAGCTGACACTGTGCCAGGTACTGTTCTAAAGAGCTTTACGTGTATTAACCTTTTTATCCTCTCAGCCCCTACAGAGTACTCATATTTCTGTTGCCACAATGTGTGCTCCAGGGCATTGAAACCCAGATGAGAATTTCATCCAGAGAAATAAAAAACACAAAGATTCCCCAGGCCTCAGTTTCCCCATCTTCAAGCCGAGCGTCTGCCCTAGAAGCTCCCGTATCCGTCCGCAGTCGGCCCGCGCCCCCTGCCGCCGTGAGGGGGCACTGTCTGGCCGCATCTTGCCGGAGGGTCCACGCTCTCGGTCGGCAGAGGGAGCGTGGACACCCCCGCGACTGCGAAAGAAAAGGCCTGAGGGCCAGACGGGAGCCCGAACGCGCCAGGAGCAAGCGGGAGGCCCCCACGCAGGCCCCGGGGCGGAGACCGAGCGCTGGGGGCGTGGGCCCGAGTGGGGCGGGGCCTCGAGCGGGGCGGGCCAGCCGCGGGCCCAGACGTGGCGCAGTGGCCGGGCGATTCACCTCTAGCTCACGGATCATCCTCGGCCCGGTACCCATGCACCTCCCGCTGCCTCCGCCGCCCCTACTGCTGCTTGTCGCGGCAGTTGCGGCTGCCGCCACCACCTTCCGGCCCGACTGGAACCGTCTGCACCGCCTGGCCCGAGCGAGGGTAGAGGTAAGTGAGCCTGCCCCCAGCCTGAGGACCACCACCCCTCACCCTTGTGGCCCCTTAGCCTTGGAACCACCGCCCGCTGTGGCCCCAGGACCCTGTCGACTCCCATATAGGCGCCGGGACCAACCCTCCCGCTCCCCAGCCTCAGGATGCCCAGCACCCACCGTGCGATCTTGCGGCCTGGAAATCTGAACCCATCCCCCAGTTCCCCATCCTGTCGGACAGCAGGCCCCCAGACATGTTGGCCCTGTCCCCTGACTCTTCACCCTGCCTATGACTCTCCCAAACCTGCTTTCTGGAGCCCAACTTCCCATCCCCCCCAGCACTCCACTTTTTCCTGGAATTCCTCCCCCACCCCAGTTCCGGTTGGTCTCTCTCCCATTGCCTGTGGCAGGGAAGACCTGGGCGCCAACCCCCCCCCCCCCCATGTGAAAGCCAGGGAACGGGGCTGGGAACTGCATCACCCAAACTTCTCAGCAGCCCCCCACGCTCCCCCGCGAGGAAATTACCCGCCAGAGTCCTGTCTTGTTGTGTGACTTGGAGCGTCGCAGATCCTCTGTGGGCCTTAGTTTTCTGTCTGACAGAGGAGAGGGAGGAGGAGGGGGGACTAGAATGGGGGGTCCTGGGGTCTGGACTCCTGCTGGGAGGTGGCTCCCCCTCAGGGAGTCCAGGGAGGGGCCCTCCCATCCTCCCATGATGAGGAAGCAACCTGATGGTCTGTAGGTCTGGGCCGCAGGTGGCAGGGAGGGCCAGCTCTGCATGGGATGGGGCAAGGACCAGATGGCAGGTGTCTCTAATGGGGCCCTCAGGGCAGTTGTGAGCTCTTTCCGTCTGGTCTGCCTCCGCCCTGAGGTTCTAGGGGCCAAAGGCCTGGCCCAGGTCTCTACTGCCTGAGAGGATTAGGGTGATCATTTCTCTTGGGCGTTGGGAGTGAGTCAACAGTCAGTAAGGTGTGCAGGCAAGAGCCCCAAGGCTGGTAAGTGCCCTTCGGGTCTCTGGCCTTGCTCTTCTTTTCCCCTGGTGTCCCTAGGCCTCAGTTTCCCCATCTGTACAGAGTTCCCCCGTCTGCCCACAAGGGGCCTCCCATCTCCACACCTTGGGAACTTCTGTTCCAGGGTTAATCCACAGCCCCACCCAACTTGGGGATCAGCGTGAAATGGCCTTGAGGGTGTGGTTGGGACAGATGTGAGGGACTCCTGAACTATCCCATTTTGTCCCCCTCCAGACCTGTGGGGGATGACAGCTGAATCGCCTAAAGGAGGTGAGTTTGAAAGAAGGGGTCTCCAGCTCTGTTTCCCCAAGCCTTTTGGGGGTGGGCAACATAGTCTCAATGGATTGGGTGGGGAAGGATCCCTGGGCTGGGAGTCAGGAGCCTGCACCCACCTCGGTGTGTGACCTCACTGGGCTTCAGTTTCCCATCAGTACCTGGAGGGGTTGGGGTCTGATGCTCTGGTTCCTCCCTAGGTGAAGGCCTTTGTCACCGAGGACATCCCATTCTAGTATCCTTCTTGTGTGCCAGGGGAGGGAGAATGGGGAGAGGATCTGGGAAAATCTCCTTCCACTTAACTTCGAACATAGGGATGACATGGTTTTCATCTGACAAGTGGAATTGATTGGTAGTGGCTGCCCAGAGAATTCTGAGGTAGTCTTGGGTAGGCAAGAGAAATTGACTAGTGATGACAGACACAGGAAAGAGAGGAGGGCCCTTTACTTCTTTGAACCCTAATTTCCTCACATGTAAATGGGGATCCCTGCCTTACCTGGGCAAACGAGGCAGTGCTGTTCACATTAGCAAGGCCCCGGGAGACCCCACCTGCCTCGGTCCACGGCTACCCACCTTAACACCATCTCCAGCCACAACCTGGTAATGAAACACCTCCCAGGGGCCGACCCAGAGCTGGTGCTGCTGGGTCACCGCTACGAGGAACTGGAGGTGAGACCTTGGGAGGGGGACAGAGGGCGGGGCGAGAGGCGGGGCCCAGCGCGCTGACCCCACCCCTCCTCCGCTTCAGCGAATCCCACTCAGCGAAATGACCCGCGAAGAGATCAACGCGCTGGTGCAGGAGCTGGGCTTCTACCGCAAGGCGGCACCCGACGATCCTGTGCCCCCCGAGTTCCTGCGGGCGCCCGCTAGGCCCGCCAAAGGGTCTCCGGCCCGCGCTGACCTGTAGGTCCGGAGCCCCAGCACCCCCCTGCCTGAGCCCTGGGGACAGAATGAAGCGTTCAGCGTCCCGGGAGCACCTCCCTCGCTGAGGGCCGACGCTCGGTCCCGGAGCCGGCAGGGATGGAGTTGGGGGTTCCTAACCCCCCTTCCCTCCCCAGCTCAACTAAATCCCCTTCCACCTTAAATTGAGACTTGACTCCTTCCTTGCTGCGGGCGGGTGGAGAATAGGAGCCTCCCGAATACCCCCAGAAGAGCCCCATACCCAAATGCCTGGTTGCCGGAGTGGGGACGGGGGCACGACTTGCGGGGCTGCAGTCCATTTAACCACCCAAGAGAGGCAGAGAAGAGTCAGGGTCGTTGAAAACCAATAATTTATCAAAACGCTGCGTGTGTATGCGGGGCACGGTGTCGCGACAGACAAGGCAGCGATGGGCAGGCGCACAGGGAGGGGATAGTGCCTGGATGGTGGGGCAGCTTGCCGCAGGCGGGCGGTGGGGGCGGGGAGGCTAGACATTCTTGCCGCGCAGGCGCAGCTCGTGGCGCCGCAGGTGGTTGTAGAGCGACTGCACATAGGTGAAGACGCACTTGGGGTCGGGCTTCTTGCCCATGATCATCATGTCATCCACCTCCACCAGGGGCACGCAGTCCACCAGCATCCTGCGGGGAGGGGGCACGGTGGTGCTTGTCAGCGCTGGCCCTGCCTCTTGTGGCGACCCTCCACCTGGAGGTCTTTTCACTGCCGCAGCTTGATGGTCTTTCATAAACTCCAGATTCTTGATTGACTGAATGGGGTAAAAGCCTTCCAGGGAAGCAGGAAACCCCAGGCCCCACTCACTCAAGCCTGGAGGCACCCCTGTGGGGACCGAAGCCAAGCAGGTGGAGGTGGGATGGAGGAGAGGAGCGCCGTGCCCCATCCCGGTCTGGGCAGGGTCCGTGTCTCTACCCCCAGCCCTGGGGAGGTCCTGACTCCCGACCTCGCCCGTGTTCTGGCCACCCTCAATGGCACAAGCCTCTCAATTGGGCCGTTGCATCCGGAGGGGGCGGGGCCGTTAAATCTTTCTCTGAAGCCAGGACCCGCCCAGTGACCCTCTGGGCCTGGGATTATCTACCAGCTGCCTGGCCTGGTACCTCCTGCAGAGAGGCCCAGGAAACCCTGTCCTTGCTCCAGGGGACAATCTTGCTGCTAGTGATGGAGGCCAGGGAGTGAGGGGGGAGGGCGGAGGAGGTGGGTAGCGGCAGTTCTTTAACCCTTACCACCCACCTCAGGTAGAGCAATGGAAGCAGATGATAGGACCAATACAGACAGGGCCCTCTACAACATGCTTAGGGGGTGGGACCACCCTTCTGTCCATCCTCCAGAATGCTAGCTGCACTTTACAGATGGGGAAACTGAGTCACAGAGCAGAGGAGTTGTTTGTTTCAAGCTCCACAGCTTAGTAGGTGCAAGGCTGGGCTTCATGAGACCCAGGCCTCCAGCCCTGGGTGTTGGCACCTACCTGGAGCCCCCTATTCCCCACTGCAGGAGCTCTCTCCCCACTCTGGGGTGAGTGGGCTGCAGCTACTAAGCAACTGACAGCCCTAGAGCTCTAAAGCTAGAGTGTGCTCCCTGGCTCCATTTCCCCTCCTCTCCCAGGGCAAGACCTACTTCTACTTCTACCCCCTCCCATCTGCCATGCCTGGCATATAGTAAGCATGCAGTCAATGTTGTGAAGTGAGTCTCCATTGGCAGGAAAGGCATAAGGGGAGGAATTGCTCCTGTTCCCAAGACACCCAAAGGCCCATGACTACCTCCCATCTTGTGCCTTCAAGGTCAAACCTGGGACCATGGCCTACTCCCAGCTCACCTGGACTCCAGGGAGGAAGCCTGTTTCAGTCCAGGCTGTACCCGACTTGCTCTGTGACTCAGTTTTATTGCGACAATATAGTCATTCTCTGCCTCATTTGAGACCTTGGAAATACTTAGGATGAGTGAGGGGTTCCTGACTCTGTTGCTGATGTACTACGTCCCCTTGGGGTCGTCTCTGCCCCAGACGGGGCTTGTTTCCCCAGCTATACTGTGGTGGGGAGGCAGCCTGTCTCTGCAGCTTCTTCCAGCTGTGGCTATCTCTCCAGGGATCCCAGCTTCCCTCCCCCAATGTGGAGCTCCCTCCCACCCCTGGTGTCTTCCCTGGAGACCTTATAAAGCCATTGTTTACACTGGGGCTCACGGCTCGGGGCTCCAGTGACAGGCCAAACACCAAGCAATTCAAGCAACAGCACGGCTGAGTCACACTTTCCAACTGGATCAGGGCCGGGCTGGGCCCCTCTCCCTTCAGGCCAGCTTGCTGGGCAGCAGAGCCTAAGTCCATATATGACCTGGAGACAGCACCAAGTCCAACCTCCCCTCACCTGCATGGCTTCTCTGAGTGTATGTGTGCATGTGTGGGCTGCCCCTCACAATGGCTCCAGGCCCTGAGGGACATCTGAGTGTACCCCTCATGAGCTCTGTCCCTGACTCATTACTTCAGGCAATCCCCTTGCTCCCTCTGGGCCTCTGTCTTTTTTTTTTTTTTTTTTTTTTGTCTATGAAATGGGTGGGAAAAGTGATGGGGCAAGGAAAAGAGCCACTACATGGGGAATCTGGAGTTCTAGTTTCTGGCCCCAGCTCTGACCTAAACCTCTTGGGACACTCTGAGCCACCTCTGTCCTTCTCTGAGCTCCTTATCTGTAATGGGCAGTTAGCTCAGGATCTGAATTCTCTACTGTAGCCCTGAGGTAACCACACAGGAAATACTACAGCTGGCTTGGGGATCCAGGACCCCAACCAGAAACATGTTGTTAAAGTGGCCTTGCTCCTGAGCTCCCCAACTTGGAGCATGGCATCACCAAATCCCCAGTGCCCAAACTGGAGGCCTGGGAGGCTTTCTTGACCCGTCTTCTCTCTCCCCAAACCGGATCCATCAGGAAGCCTGTCCCTCTCCTTAAGCTGCTCCAGCTGTCTAGTCCACCCCCTCCCCATCCCTCATCCAAAGGTTGTTCTAGAATGCTAACCAGACCACATACATCTGCCTGTTTGAAAACCTTTTATGACCCTTGTCCTTAAGAGGAAGTTCAGACTCCTGACTGGTCCCTTCCTCCCCCTCATACCCAGACAAAACTTCCTTTCCTTCCTGGGTGTGTCATGCTCTCCATCTCTCTCGCCCACAGCCCTGTGCAGAGGCTCATCCCTCTGCCTGGGACACCCTCTCCCTCCTTTAGCCTGAACTTGTTCAGATCCCAGTGTAGTCTGCCCTTTCTTCAGATAGCTGTCCTGGAGCAGCAGGCTGGGTCAGGTGCCTCCCCTGGGCTCCCTCTGTCTTAATCCTGCTCACCTGGGTTATCAATGCCCATTCTGGAGAATGGTCTCACCTGTTAGGCCCTGAACTGCCAGAAGACAGGGCCATGTCTGGCTCCCTCTGGCTCTTCTCAGGGTCCCCTGCTTCCCCCACCCACCTCCGGGGCCTCTCTTTCTGCCCCGCTGAGCAGATTCCAGCAAAGCAGGGCAGGCAGGCCAGGCGGCGTTTCTCACCGTGGGGCCCCGAGCAGGGGTTAGGGCTTTTTGGTTTTTACCAGCCCCTTCTGGACCAGACAGCGGTAGAACTCCTGGATGTACGTGTACACGCACTTCCAGTCAGGCTCTCGAAGCCGCACCATGTCCTCTGTGTCCAGGAGCTGCGGGCAGTCCGCATGGGTCCTGGCGGGGGGGGCCGGGAAGGGGCAGGGAGGCGGGGCCCGGGCAGGGAAGAGGGGGAAGAGGCAGAGAAGAGAGAGGGGAGGAGAACAGAGACACACACACATACACACACACACAGAGACATGAGTTCAGTTACGTTCTCAGTGCCGCAGTCTGCCAGCCTCCCGCATGCCCCCTCCCCATCGTGGACGTGCCGCTCACTACCCATCACTAATGGTGTGCGATGCAGACAGGGGTGGGGGGGCCAGACCAGTCACAGGTGCAGAGAACTCTTTGGGCAAGCGGGAATGCTGGGTGGGGGGCAATGGCGTTGGCGCCAAGGTTGGAGAGGAGGGCTGTGCCCCAGGGAGGGGGGGTGAGGGAGGCGTGAGAGGAAGTGGAGGGAGGAGGAGGAAGAAATCTGAAGGGAACCAAAAAGAGAAACGGAGAGAAGGAAAGACAGATAGAGGAAGGTGCTGAGGGTGAGGTGAGCAGACGGGGCAACGATTCCAAAGTGGAGGGCTTGCTGATGTCCTATATAAGCCTCTGGCAACACCTATATAGGCTGGGCGGGCACGGTGCCCGGGCCAGGAGCCTCCTTTTGGAATCTCCAGCCGGGATCCCGTGGGAGCAGGAAGCTCTGGTGATAGTGGGAGGAGAACAGGACAGAGGAAGGGAGAAAGAGAGGGAGAAGGGGGCAGAGGGAGGATGGAGGGGATATGGACAGGGCCACCTGGTGGGCCTTGGCCCGGGCTGGTAGGCGGGCCTGCGGCTCCTTCGTTCCGGCGGGCACCTGGCATACTCAGCAACGAGTGGGTGGGGTGGAAGAGGACAGGGGCTTTCTGGGGAAGGGGGTCTCAGCCGCAGCCTGACAGTGCGGCTGGCCAGCTCCAGGGGGCCTCAGGGCACCTGGGCCTAGCCCAGATGCCCAGCCCCAGATGCCCAGCCGACACCAGCAAGGCTGGGGCCCACACTTACTCGGCGGATGAGAAGGCCACCTCGAAGTTCTGGCGCCGGTTCTGCGGGCTGAGCTGCCCGTAGTCAAAGGCCTCAGGGAAGAAGTTGTGCACCAGGGCACAGAAAGCCATCCCGTCACTCCAACTCGAGGAGAAGTTCTGGATGTCCACGTGCTATGGGTGGTGGGAGGACTGGTCAGCTCCCCCATACCTTCTACCAGCCACCGTTTTAGCATTCCAGACCTAGGGCAAGTGGGCTCAGAGAGGCCCTGTAGCTTGCCCAAGGCTGCACAGTGGGTGAGTAGTGAGAACACGAGCCTCCTTCAACTCAGTTTGTCAACTGCCATGTCTGCTACTTACTGCAACAGAGCAACCAAGAGGCCCAGCACCACCCAGCTAAAGCCATGGTCATGCCTCCATCACTCCTTCCCTTATATATAGAAATTTACCAGTGCCCCCCAAGGAGCAATGAGAAGGGGATCCCAAGGGTGGGGTCTGGCCCTGAACCGTGCCCACCATGCAAGGGGCCCTCAGGCTT